TTGCTAAAAAATCCGCAAAACTTTAAAATTACATTATAATTCCTAATTGGGTGTAAGTGATGGCACATAGCTTGCCAGATTAGATTTGGAGAAAACTGACCACATCTTATGGGGAAACGTTTTAATTTTAGCACGTATTATTGAAAAGTTATTTTGTATCTGGAAGAGTAGATAAAATGCAATACAGAATAATTGCATGGTCAATGCTCAAGGGATGGATTACTTTGCTACCCGCATCTTTATGTAATTATAAATTGTATGAGGTGATTGAACACCTTGTGGATTTATTATATGTTGATGTGTTATATATTTGTGATTGTATTGGGTTAGATAGTTGTGCAATGGTGGTCATTCATTTCTAAGGATATCATCCGACAAAGAAAGACATTAGAGGCAAAGAAAGATTAAATAATAAAGGTGGCCGACTCTAGTTAAATATTTGACTTCCATTTGATGGTGGAAAGACATCAGGATTAGTATAAGTGGTTGACGGATGTCCACAGAAAGCTCATTATTACAAATCAATTCAGCCCCCAGATATGCCACCTCACCTCACTCCACTCAAATAAAGTTTGGCAACTCCTTCAGTAAAATAAGGAAAATATCCCCTCTATGTGAAAAATTGAAAATATATTTTGGGATTGATCCTTCCTGTAAGAACAATTAATAAAGATTTGAATGAACTGAAAATGGTCATACTACTATACATCCCCTTTATTCTTAGAAATAAGAATCAATAAACTTTTCCTTCACGCATTTGACAATTTTTTTTAGTTTTTAAAATATTATTAAAAATTTTAGTAAGCTGAAATTCTCAGATCTTTTAGCTAGCTAACATCATTCAGCTTAGTTAGCTAACATCAATAGATAAAAAATAATTTTATTCGTCTTTTAAATACTCCATCTAATTTGCCCAAGTATCACGTGCATGCTCTTGACCAAAAAGAGTTTACATAGTTAGCTAACATTATTCAACTTATCCACTGGCCAATTTCTCTTAAAACTCTTTCATGGGGTCATCTAAGGCTACTGTACCACCACTCCAGCAACTTTCAAGTCTCAAAGAACTTTAAATTCAAAGCTTTAGCACATTATCATCTGCATTTGGAAAAATAAAAGCACCAAATTTAAATTAGAATCAAGCTTACAAAGAAGTCAGTGTCTTATCAAATATTCTCAAATAAGCTGGGCAAAAACTTCCAAGCTAGTCAATACATAATGTGAGACTTATGATGATTTGGTAGTAAGCACGGATAGCACAGGTTCTGTTCTATTAGGATTAGGACAAAAAAATTGATGCTCCCCAGTGATATGCGACTGATCTTATAATACACCTAATGTATCAGGTAAAGCAAAAAAAAAAACATTGCCTAACTGAGTTAATTGGAAATTAACCACTCATAGGGGTGTGCCTTCAGTTAATTCGATTGGATTGATTAACAATTTTGTTAAACCAATTGAATCAAATCAAAACCATATTATAATTAGAACCAAATTGAGCCAAATCGAACTCTAATAAAATATGGGTTATTTGGTTCAATGTTGGTTTAAACAAATTTTGCAAAGAAATAAAAGTTTGATTTCAATAATACATAAACCAAAATCAAAAATAAAAACACACATGATAATTGCATTTTATTTTTTCAGTTTAACCCAGTTTTCTTTCCTAAAACCAAACCAAAAAGTGAAATCTAAAAAACCATTACTACAAATCCAAGAGTCAAATCAATATTTAATAAACTAAACCAAATCAGCCAAACATACTCAATTTACTTTAATTTTTCAGTTCAAACCAATTCATACAAACCCTAGCCTCTCAATCAACATCCACACACACTTTACGAAATCTCCTTGGATTATATAAACCATAGCGAATGGCAAGGTTCTTCGAGCAAAGTTGAATTGAATACCGCTACTCTAACTAAATAGATCTTGGTCCATGACCACTCAAGACGACAAAACTATGGTATCCTGATCGGGCAAGTCATTAATTCCCAAACAAAACCTTCTTAGCACAAGGATGAATCATCTCTTCTCTAGCACCAAGAGAGCCATTGCAACAACCAATCTACTAGAGAATTAATATTACTAGACTCAAAAGCTCTACCTCACTGAAGATGTAATTAATCATGGTTCTTGGCCCCGAAAGAAACCTTCGAATAAGAAAAATGAAGTCCAAGGAAAAGGGCTATATCTTTGAGTAGATTTATCATTCCTAATCTAAATCTTGAAAAAGAAAAAAATCAATCCCTCCCCAAGCATGGTTAGGTGGCAGTTTTCAAGGCCAAAAATTATTATCATCATCGAAAAGAATATTGAAGTCAATGAGCTAAAATGAAAATTGAGAATCATCATATCATCTCATAATCATTATCCTTATCCTAACGATTTAGGATTGACCCTCTAACTCCTTATTTTCAATTTATTCACGTCCAATATTATAAGTGATGATAAAACTATTTTCCATATATCAAGATGGATAAAAATGATTAAAATTGCATGTCATGTGGAAAATGAAAGACAAAATAAGAAGGCCAATTGCCTAAGACTAAAAAATGCTTGATTAAGGTAGTTAATGACTACTTAAAGCAACTCTCCAAAACTTCCATGTTTTAAATGAATGATTTGGAAAAGAATAAGGCTACAGTAATTCCTAAGGTTGTCTGGTTGCTTGATGTGAAGGTCTTCACACTATTTAAAAAGTATGTGTCACGACCCAAACCCAGAACTTGTGAATTTTAAGGCAAGAATGAACGATCGGACAATAAAAATCAAATTTAATAGTTCAATCTAAATCTAAAATAAAGAGAGTCGATAATAATTTAAATTTTAAATTAAATAAATAATAAATTTATCCTTTTGTTTACTGAAATTATCTTCTATATATGTTTTCTCATCTATTACACATCTTCTAAGCAAATGTTTAAACCTGATAATATTAAAAACCATAATAAGCTACAATAGCTAATGAATATAATTACTTCTAGCCTAAAATAACAAAAAGTAATATGTATTTTAATCAGATTATTAATCCATATGACTATTTAATAAGTGTCATAACATTCAATTATATTATTTTTTATCTATAATATTTTATTTATACAACTATCACTGAAACACCGTCTAAAATTTATAATAATAAAGATCTATTAATATCAATAACATTTTTCATTTACATGTACGGGTAACTTAGTGTCCCCAGCAAGTACTATGAGAGGGTGACTCTATTAGTTAATAATGCACACATAAACTATGAGAGGGTGACTCTATTAGTTAATAATGCACACATAAACATTAAGCAAGGAAACAATGTACTTGCATAGTTCTAAATTAAAAATGTTGAGAACACACATCATTCATTCAATATGATAAAGATTTTAATATTAATATTTAGAAATATTTTTTCTTTATTTTATCTTCATAAATCATCATTTTATTTTAAATATTTTAATTTATTTCTTCAAATAGTATCAATATTTATTTAGTGTTAATTTAACATCAGGTATTATGTCGTAATTTAATTATTATGATTCTCATGAATATTTAAACTTTTATCAATTAAATTTACAGTTTTAACAATTTTTATATAATATGAAGGTTAACAATTAATAAATATAATCCTCATTATCAATTAATTTCAAAATTTTCAAATTAATACATGATTTATTTTATAAATTTAGGTATTTTTTTTGTAATCTTCGTGTCACAACATAGTTTTAACTATTTCATTCAAATATATTAAACTTAAAATTTTTTTTTATTTTAAAAGTTTATTTTCTCTCAATTAATATCTAATTATTTTCCTATTTATATTTAGTTTTTTTCATTTTTTAAATATTCACTTAAAAAAATCAACATAAAAAAATAATTCTAATCTTAAGGCTCCGGCTCGAGATTGAAACCTCCCTCGCCAATTCGTTTGCACAAATTGGCTTGACTTCAACACCTTGCTCGTGCTCTAACATGCAGCATAGCACCTACTAGAAATATGCTCTTAGTTTCACCTCCTCTTCCCTACACGGTCGAACCCGCGCTAGACCATTCTCCAGTTCATCTTAACTAGAACTCAGATCTTTGTCCTAGACCAAAAAATGCTTGCCTGAGACAGCCTTCCATTCTCCGCCTGCTTTGCCACTTTGCTCGAGAAATGTCAACCATTGATCGACACAATAGAATCAAAGGCATATCGCATGCATCAATCATTTGTGTGTTGCCTTCAAACTTACAAGCAAACTTGCCATCTTCGTCTTCCTCCAACGAGTCGTTCCATAGTGCCCTTTGTTCGATCAATGCTTGAATCTGGTTGACCGAGCGGAAGACTCCTTTGCACGGGCACTACTCGAAATGCCTATTTCACTGCCCCAATCTTCTCTCTGCCTCTCTTTCTTACTATCGTCCCCTCCTAAGAGGGTTGCAGAAAAAAAAAAAAGGCTAAACCAGAGCAATACAATGTGATCACACCAAAAGTTTAATGGTAAATTAGCACATCAGCATGTCCGCCCAAACACTTGCCTTCTCTAGAGAGAATGATGAAAAATTCTACAAAAGCAGTTAAAATTCCAACTGCATCTATTCTTCGCCAATGTACAGCCCCTGCAACCACTAAAAAAAGCAGTTACAGCTACTCAACTCCTAAAAAGTAAAAAATTTGTCATGTTCATTCAGTTTAATGAGCTATCATGGGTTTGGAAAGACTGAGCTGAGAATAGCATATAAAGTCTGGACATTGCTATTATTTATACACTCGGCCTTAAATGCAATGCAGCATAATCTCAGGAAAAGCATTCCCCCAACATAATTTGTTGAAATGAAGTAACATCGACAATAAATATTTGTTTACTCATGGAATCATTTCTGAAAAAAATATAAACATCACGTAAGCATAAAATAGTCAATGGAAAAACTACCAAAGTTTTCAAAACATAAATCAAGGCAACATTCTCGAGACAGAATAAATCAAGGCATAGTAGCATGAGTTACTGTACACCAGAAAAAGATACCTGTCTAGCTGTGAGAAGGCATTTTGAACCTGGAAAAGTGCTGAATATGAGCTCCAATGGAATAGAGAGAGATTGCAGTTCAAAAAAGAGATGAATAGTTAGAAATAAAGCACTGAGACGAATGCAAACATTTACAGCACGTTGCAATTTCCTCCGGTTAATTTCACAGATGCTTGCAATTCATACAGCTTAAACAGTGAACCCAATAAACAATTTTTCAGATTTGGTAAATTATGATTTACATCAAGCCGATAGTAGACCTACATAATCTACTGATATCCACTTAAACACTCTCAGAACACAAATCCAACAAAACTCTCAGAATATAACCCAGCCAAAATTGGTCTGAGTATGTCCACAAACCTAATTCCCCAAACATTTTGGTAAAATAGAATTATATGCTACGAGAGAACCTATGAAATAGCTATACAATGACAATTAACATAGATGATGTTTCTGATGCTTGAGAAAAGTAAAGAAAATGGTTGACTATCAAAAACTTACGGGGAAAAAATAAGAAAAATGAAATACGACCAAGCAGGATTAACGTATAAAAAGGTGGCAATCAAATGCCGAACTTTAGTTAACTAATTGCACCAAAGGATTTCTTTGATGTACAACTGTGACAATTGTTTAAAATAAATGATAGAAGTGAGAGAAAAAAAATTGCTGCAGGAGACAACATGTGGAATAAACAATATAAAAGAATCCAAATGAAAAATGAAAGCACAAGGGCACGCAAATACAAAGTAATGATAAAAAAATGAAGCTGATGCAGCAATGTGCAGTTTTCACTTCCTTTTAGTTATGGGTTAAGAATAAATAATCAAATTGAAAAAAACTTGGCAAATATTTATGGCTACATTTTAAATGGAAACACAAGCATTTGAACAGCGTTTTAATTTAACAGATAAATGACATTTTTTCATAGTTTCATGGCAAGATAAATCAAACCCATTTAACAAAGCATATCATGTTTTATCCTACATAAATTTAATATGCATTTTAAAAGTTGAAGATACTAAGCTCAATGATTAAAAATATAGTTATTTGTATAAAGCTCCATTTGGTTTAGTCCTTTTGTGAAAATGAACAAAGCTTTGAAACTTTGTAAACAAGGATGATAGTTTAGCCTATTTTGCAAATAAGAACAACTAACCCTGACATACAAACTAGGTACTACTCTAGTAACAATAAGGTGGGTGGGAACGGCGACGGGGAATACGGTAGACGGACGGATAGCCAAAGGAGGGCTGTCCTGAGCGGGGGCAGCAAGGATGATGGCTAGACAGCGAGTAAACTGTAGGAAAAACAGCAAAAGGCTGATGTTGTGGTGGCCTGCAGCGAGGAGTGTGGGCAGCGAAGCGGGAGGAATGCATCAGAGTTGGAGAACGATAAGCACCACCTGAAGACCAATATATAGTCGAAGCACCACCTAAAACCATAGATTACAACCCTCGAAGGGAAGAAAAGGTGCCAGTGGTTGTCCCAATACAAAACACATGAAAAACCAACCCCAGACTCCTACGAAAATAAATATATACTAATAGGATAACTAAGAGTAGCTCAAGTGGATCAACCAACTCTTCAACAGGAACCAAACTTGGACCGATTCGGTCCAAGAACAGTAGTTAGGTCGCGGCTTTGTTCACATCGAGAGCAGGGGCGTTCTTGCGCAGTTTCCCAAGGTTGAGGGAGCTTTGATGGTCGATCTCATCTGCCGAAGCGATTGTCCTCTCATAGTAGTCAGAACAGCCCCGTTGGAGGCAGCAGAAATGTTGTCATGTCCAAATACATGCATAACTTGAGTTGGAGTTGTCTGTGGATAGATATCCTCAAGAACCAAACCTCAAGTCATCAAATCTATGATTGGCTTCTTCCACTTCTCGTACTCATCCGAGTGTACCCGGTAAACAAGTATGCAAAGAGGAATCAACTCTGGGACGAAATCAATGGAAGGTTGGGTCATACTTTAGGGCACTACTCATGAGAGACCTGTTCTTTTTCTTTGAAAGGACCTGGATCCCACTGTAAAATATTCCTTTCTACAAAGCTCCTAAGTTGATTTCCAATATTGTAATTCATTCATCCTGTTTGATCAGCTATCAGTGGATATACTACTAAACTAAATTTAATACCACAATTACTCGGTATGGACTTCTAGAAGTGGCACAAAGGAGTCTCATCTCAGACATGTTGAACCTCTCTCAGTAGGGGCAACTTATACAGCAACCTATCTATCTAAAAAGTATGAAATTATCTTATATGAGGTTGTACTGTGTCTTATATCATCTCCTCAAACTCATGGTCTGTCTGGACATCTAATGTCACTCTTGTTGATACTCCTCTCAATGCCTGCAAAAACAGTAGCTCGATCACAACCTCATACTCCACATGAATGTCCATTATCTCAGGCTCAATATTTTCTCAGTTGGAGACTCTCTCCTTGGTTCAACTAGAATTGTTGGTGTCTCTTCTTCATCAGCTGGAAATTGAGAATCCTCTCTGAAATCTTCATCTTCACCAAGATCACTACTTATTTCTTCAACTTCTCCCTGATCCGTGGAAGATATCATTTTCCTGATTGTGCAATTTGATACGGTATGCCCAAATTCATGGTACTTGAAACACTTCATGCCTGGGACAAATTTAATAATGCTGATTGGTTCCACCTGTTCTCCACTTTGACCTAGTACCTCCACAGGTACAGTCAATTGGATGTTCCTCGGAGTATACTCTTTTTGAAAGATCTTGTGGTTGAATTATGCATGTAAGATGTGGTGGTCATCCAGTAATATTGTCTCTCCAGTTTTGAAGCCAGGGTCCGCGCATCCTTATTTGATGGAGAAGTACAGAGAGAGAAAAAATGATATACATATGATTTTTATTGATTTAGAAAAAGCTTATGATAAGATTCCAAGAGAAGTTATTTAGAGAGTTCTAGAAAGGTGTTGATATGACTTATATTCAATTCATTAAAGATATGTATATTAGAGTTGTTACTTTTGTTCGAACAGAAGGAGGATTGACTAAGCATTTTCCTATTTCAATTGGAATACATCAGGTATTGGCTTTAAGCTCATACCTTTCTGCTTTAGTTATGGATGCTTTTGTTGGACAATGACAGGAAGATGTGCCTTGGTGTATGTTATTCGTTGATGATATCCTTCTTGTGGATAAACTAGAGAAAGCGTTCAGGATAAACTTGGATTATGAAGGTTTACTTTAGAGTCTAAAGGCCCTTGTTTAAGTAGATCCAAAACTGAATACATAAAATGTAATTTTAGTAGTAGATATAGTGGCAAAGTTGTAACAATGGGTGATCAAGACCTTAAAAGGAGTGAACGCTTTAGATATCTCGAGTTTATTGCTTAAAATAATAGTGATTTAGACAACGATGCTATTAGTATAAATCAAGTTAGATGATTAAATAGGAGGATCATACCTATAGTGTGATAGAAAAATACCGCCTAGACTTAAAGGAAAATTTTATAAGATGGTGGTGAGACCCAGGATACTTTATGGCACAAAATGTTGGCAAATAAAAGAGAAGCATAAAACTAAGTGTTGTTGAGATGAGAATGATTAAGTGGATGAGTGGCTTTACACTTAAGAGGCAAAATGTGAAACGAATATATCCGTGAAATGGTTGGTGTAGCTCTAATGGTAGACATAATTAGAAAGTCGTCTTAGATGGTTTGGTCACATTAAACGTCGACCATCCGATGATCTAGCTAGGAGAGTAGATGTTTAGATTCGACTATGTTAAGAATGGTAAATGTAGGCCTTAAAAAACTTGGGACTGTTGTATAAAAAATGATCTTAATTTATTAGAATTAAATGAAATATGACATGCAATAGGATAATGGAGAAAAATGATTCATGTAGCCAGCCCCACTCAGTGGGATAAAGTCTTGTTGTTGTAGTAGTTTGCGCATCTTGTCTGTAATGAATTGATAGGCACACATGTTGCATTTCTCATTGTATTTATGACCAAGTAGTGATTGTATCTTTTACCTCACGCTAACATAAGTGCTTCAAATTTTCCCATCAAAACCACACTTCTATAACTTGCTAACAACTGGTTTTATCATTCTATCCAGTGGGATGTTCTGGTACACGAAGAAAAATTCCACGATCTGAGGCCACTCAGTGAACTCCTCCAGCTCTAAGTGGTCGTCAAAATGTGCCAAATTCACCCTTAAGTTAAAATCTTAGCTTCTCAAATATGTAAGGTCAAGTCTTTAGGATAGAGGTTCTTCATCACTGACATCTGTATGGTGAAAGAGACTCACTCAATTCATTCAATCTAGCAAGTCACCATTGTGGCTACGGGTGACCCATCTAGATGGTCTCCATTCCTCAATTTCAATAAACTGTTGTAGCACTCGACAAAGTTGTCGTCATAGCTCCTCTATGGTAAAATCCTGATCGGCATCCAACTATTCTCTCCCTGGTGGCATGATTAAGGATTACGTGTAGATAAGTGTAAGATAGTGTATATAGGGATGATGTAGGGTGGGAAATAAAATTTGTGGGTCGCCGTTTTAAAAAACCAGCAAATGAAGGGATTTTTGGATGGAGATGAGGTTGGGTATTGGTAGATTCTAAAAACCCTAGGATAGGACAAGGGTTAACTCTACACCAAATGATGTCGGAGTTAACCTAAGCCACAATGTGAAAAACAAATGTTATTAATATAAGAAAATAGACAGTTACAACTAACATACTTGAAAGGAAAACCAACAACAAACACGACATGCAACACACTGAAATAGGAAATAACAACATGAATCGTGACACACGGCTAGGGTGAATCTCGGGGTGGTGGTGATGGTCGACGAGGGTTTGGAAGGTGGTGGGATGGTGGATGAGGTGGACAACAAGTACGTAACAAATATCAACGTGTCACGGTTGTCTGGTATAATAGAAGCAAAGAGGAGGGCTGAAACAACAGCGACAGCGAAGATGGAGGCTGGAACAGTGATGGCAGTGGGTATGGAGGGTTGGAACAGTGATGGCAGCAAATGGGAAGGGTTGTAACAACGATGATAGCAAGGATGGAAGGCGGGAATGGCGATGAGGAATGAGGTGGACTACCAGACTGTCAAAGAAGGGTTGTCCTAGGTGTGGGAAACGTGGATAATAGTCGGAAAACAAGTAAAGTGCAGAAAAAATAGCAAAAGGTTGTTGTTGAGGGGGCTTGCAGCGAGGAGTATGGGGTGGCGCAGTGGGAGGGACCTTGAGGAGTTGGGAAAAGATAAACACCACCTGGAGACCAAGATACAACCAAAACACCACCTAGAGACCAAGATACAGTCAAAACACCATCTGGAATCCTAGGATACAACCCTCGAAGGGAAGAAGAGATGTTTGTCGCAGTTTCAATGAAAAAAACATAAAAAAGTAACTATAGACTTCTACAAAAACAAATATATAATAATAGGATAAATAGGAGTAGCCCAAGTGGACCGCTCAACTCCTCAACGGAGACCAAACTAGGACCGGTTCCGTCCAAGAACAATAGTCGGGTTGCAGCTTCGTTCGCATAGCATCGTGTCAGTATTAGTTTAAAATATTAAGAACTAATTGTAAGAAAACACAGGCAACAAACTTTAGTACAAGACAAGAGTTTGAAGGTCATGTTTATTGAACCAAGCATTGAACTCCACCTTTGTTTGGCATGACATTAATAGAAGCGATGAAATGTATGACAAAAGCATGATTCTTACAAAGTATAATTCTTAAGAAAAAAAAGATTATTCAACTTACTGAATTCAAGTTACAACTAACCTTTAGTAGAAACTTGTTAAGGGCGACAAATTCTGTAAGATTACACCAAGGAATTAGTAAATAAATAGACCATAATTCCCCCACATAGGAAATAGCAATTCAAATATAAAGAAAAGCTCTGGAACCTTGAATTCTACTCACAACAAATTGTTTGAGTTCATAGCCACAAAGCAAAACAACAAAATTAAATCTTTAGTAGGTGAATCTTGATTTTAGAAAATGAACAAGGCCCATCTTGAACGAGGAACAACACCCATAATATGGCATAATGTTCATTGATTGTATTGCATCTGATAGAAGTGAGGTCACCCATAAAAGGGATTAGGCTAGATCCATTCCCATCAAATAAGGGATATCACATTGTGGGGGGAAGGTGATCCTCCATCTATTGGATAGGCTATAACAATTCATATAAGACCAAACTAATATTGTGGGTGCTAACTAGTGCTTTCATGAAGTAATCTATGCTAAAATATACTAAAAATCCTAACTTATTTTTTGATAAAAAAATAATTGGAATTTTCCCGTTCCAAATGAATTGAGCATTGCAATCATTGTTTTTTTTCAAACCACATTTCTCAAACATAACCATTAATCATTGCAATCAATTTTTAGACAAAGACACTATTCCTCGAGTATTTAACTATTCTCTATAACCTTGCTTTACATTTAGGGTTAGTTACTATTTAGGTAAGTGGATGAAGGTAATTGCAACTTACTTCGGAACTGAGTTCAAGCAAAAATTTTCTAACAAGTAAATAAAAGTGCATTCCACATTTTTAAAGTCATCTTTGTATAGTTGAGCTAATGAGTTTCAATCATATGGCCATAAATATCACCTGTCTTTGCTTTAAAATCCAATAATAATAGAACAACTTTATTAATTGGATACAACAACAACAACAACAACAAAGCCTTAATCCCACTATGTGGGGTCGGCTACATGAATCTTTTTTCTCCATTGCGTCCTATTTAGTGTCATATTTTCATTTAGTTCTAGTAAATTAAGATCATTTTTAATACAATAAGCCCAAGTCTTCCTAGGTCTACCTCTGCTTTTCTTAACACAAGTCGAATTTAAAACATCTACTCTCCTAATCGGATCATCTAATGGTCGACGTTTAATATGACCAAATCATCTAAGACGACTTTCTCTAATTTTGTCTGTATGATAGGTTAAAATTACTTTTACTTATAGCAATAATAATAAATTATAAAAAGTTAATGATATGGTGGACAAAAATGAAATTAGTTAAAGCTTAATCAAACACAATAACCAAGGCAGTAATAAATGAGCATCTTCGAAATAATCAGAGATCATTGAAAGTCACCTCTAAAACTCAATTCCAATCAATTTGAAACACATGTCAAATACAAATTGCATCTTCACAGAAACATGTGCAACGTGCAAACATAAACATATAGTGCATAACACAGGCTATACTATAAATTTCATCAATGTTGTACAGTACTTCATTAGTCACGACTTGCCCTGTTGGATACTAAGTATGTAGCTATTTGGCTAATTGCATAAAATAAATATATTTGAATTAATTGATCTTCAAGTAATATGAAGTAGTTGGGATCTGTGAGGTTTAGAGCCTTCGTGCTGCGAAGCTTAAAGAATGATAGGTTTAAGTAGATGACAAGACCATGTCGCAGAGAGCGACTAAAATAATTGAAAAAAAAAAAACAGAAAAGCTGTAATTGAGCGAACCTTCAAAGTCCATGGTGCCGTTCTTATCAAAATCATACATTCTGGGGAAAATTAATGATAAAAACCATAAATTCCAAAGAGAAGCAGTGCATGACGAATATAAGGTTTCCGTAGAATCCAAATACCTGATCATTTGCTGAACTACAGTTAGAGGGAAGTTTAGGTTCCCAACGGCAAGAGCATTCTAAAACGAATTTAGATACATAACAAAACAATCGTTGAATAAGGAGTTAGGTCTTGGATTTAATTTTAGCACTATCAATAAAATAGGACGAAGAAGCGCTGTGAAGGAAACCTTAAGCTGAGAAGCGTTGATGCTTCCCGCATTGTTGGAATCTACGTGATGAAACCACTCCTTCAAAACATTAGGGTTCTCCATTCCCACGAGGTGATTCACAGTAGCAATCGCGCCTCGTGATTTAAGAATGCAGAGGTATAAACGGGCCGAGTTTTCACGAACGACCATAGTCTTCCAAATTTTATTTCGTCTTTGCTAGTATTTGGCTGAATTTGACTGCCATGATTTTAAGAATAATATTTGTTAATTAAAAAAAAGGGATAAAATGAAAAATATGAGTTAAAATTTTATACCCTAATTTTATATGATTATAATTTATAATATTAATTTTAACATATATTTTTACGATAAATAACTAAAATGTGCTCCGAAGAATAATTACGTTGCAAATGACAAATACAACAGACGATAAAAAAGAAAGAAAAATACTTAATACATTTAATATATTTAATTTTCAACCACTATATATTTAATATACTTAATACATTTAATATATTTAATATACATATATAAGTAAAAATACTTAATTTTTACTTGAGAGGGAAAAAATTCTAAAATAAGTAAAATAAGTAGTAAAATATTGACACTTTATTTTATTTAAAAATATAAAATTAAAAAAAATAAGGCATATATTGTAAAATTTAAAGTCTATTCATCTTTATATTCTATGTGGTTGCACACTCAACTTGTCATTTAAGACAAAAAAAATCAACCTTCATATCTCAAGCATTTATCATTTGAATTCAGTCTTTATTATAGTAATCCACCATAATGATTTGCATAAATGCATATCTTAAAATCATAGAAAAATAATAGTTATGATTTCATGCAACTTTACTCAAATACAAGGCAACAATCATTAATCATTGGCTCATAGTTAATTATTTTTTTTATCCTATTATCCTCTTATTGATTACCAATGTAATATCTAAAAGTATTTCATTTTCAAGAGTAGTGTGTAATTTTTTTATATATCTATAATGAAAATGTATATTTGAGTAATAAAAGCTCCAATAGATAGGGCTGTCAAAACTGTTTGTTGTTTGCGAACAGCTTGTGTTAGGCTTGTTAGGAAGCTTATGTTAGATTAATTCGCTAAGTTAACGAGCTGAACACAAACATTTTTTTTTTGCGCTTGATTTATAAACGAGTTGAACAAGAACAAATATTTGTTCATTTGTGTTTGGGTCGTCTATGTTTTAATCTAAATAATAAAACTTAAATCTTGCCTCAACCTTTAACGTCATAAGACTACGTGACAAGGATTGTCAAAAAGACTTTTTGTTTGCGAACAGCTCGTGTTCGACTCCCTGAGCAAACGAGTCGAACACAAACACACTTTTTTTTTGTTCAAAAAATAAATGAGTTGAACATAAACAGTGATATTTGTAACAAACCAGACACAAGCTAAGTCTGGGCTCACTCATGTTTGGCTCGTTTACACCCCTACCAATATATGTGTATATTTTTTAGTTATTATGAAATTTAGACTATTTTATAAATAATTTTCTAAGAAAAATGAATGAAACACCTTGAAAGTTCATAAGCTAATATTTTAATCATTGATTTTTAGATTTTCTTGAGTAAGCCTTATAAATCTTTCTTGTAAATTTTTTTCACCATATTATAGAGCATATAAATCTAATTAACATTTTTTAATAAGAATAAAAAATATGAAAATAGGATATTAATCATTTAATTGAAATTACTTTAGAAATTTAATTGAAATCATTTAAATTTATTTGGTCTTAGACAAAATAAGCTATTTTATAAATATATTTAAAAATTTTTGGAGCTAGGGATACAAAAAAATATATATTATTTTATAAATAAGTCCAAATAAATTTCATATTTACAATTTTACCCATAGCACATTTTTTATATAAATTCAACTTACCTCCTTTAAATCTTCCTCATTAATGCAAAACTTTATTTTTAAAACCGTTGAAATAAAATGAGGGGAAAGGACAGAAAATAAGAAAAAAGAAAATAAACCTTCGGTTTGGGAGTCCGAGGGTTGATTTCACCTAACGAGCAAGCTGTAAAAGGTAGTCATCTCACGATAGTCTACCATTATAGCGCCTCTTATGTTAGTGATTTATTATTTTATATTTTTTTCTAAATTATTATTTGTTCAAAACTTGCAAAAATTGTGATATTTATGTATTTTGGAAACTTTCACTATATTTTTTTGTATGTTTTTGTTCTGGTTGATTTGCACATATTTACAAAAGCATGTTGAACATTTGTAATGTATTTCATATTTTTTAGTCATAGTTTTTATTTTGGGTTATATACAACTTTCTTAGAGTATGATGGAAATATTGTATAAGGGCATACTAGCATAAATGATTATACGTAATTTTTTTAATGAATTTCTAGTCATGATTGTGCATTTGTATTAAGCATAATATTGCATCTGTGAGCCCCCACCATTTTAATTTATATGCAAACTTTATATATGATGTAATTGATATGTTGAGAAAATATCGAGTACGATTCAGTTTTTTAAATATTTTATGATTATTATTAAATGTGTATATGATTTAGATTAATAAGCATTTAATACTTTATGTCGACGAATGAGTCAAAAAAATTACCTTGAAATGTATTAGTGGTGTAAACTCGATATATGTTAAGAATTTTAGGGGAGAATGTTATATGTTACGAGTGTTGACGGTTTGGCTTTAATAACTCTCATGTATTATATCACTTGACTGTTCTTATATATTATGACATGATATAGTACTTAACTTGCTATAGTTAATATAAAAAAAATATCATATATGATTAGCGAAAACACTTAACATAAATTGTATATGTGTGATGATAGAAATCATTAACACATATACTTGATGATATAATCAATATATACTACTGATGTTGTCACATGATACAATATTTATTGTGTGTTTACACTCTTTTTAGCATAGCTAGTCATGTTAGTGGCATAGGATTTGTTGCTTACCCTATATGACATGATCATAATGTAATCATGCATATTAATCTCTTTGCACTGAATACAATTGTAGGTTTATCGTAAATTATTGAGTTAACCACTCTCTTCTATCATACTTATATATTTTTAAGGTAAGGCTCCAATGGAGTGAGGTGATTACTCTTGTTGGTAGATGTATGTATGAATGTATGTATCTATACATATTTTCTATATTTTCCTTATTTTCCTTATTTCAAACAATTGTAGAACCCAATTGTAGAACCCATTTGATTGTAGAACCCATTTGTATATAAAAAGAGTTAACATCGTGTCTTCACACACACACAAGAAATACTTTTTATGAATGGTTTCTACAAATGTTTGAAATACTTTTTATAAAAAATTCTTCAGCTCAAAATGTTATACAAGAATAATGCTTTCTCATTAATCCTAAAATCATTGTTATCTTCACAGGACAATCTGGCGATCTAAATTACATTTTGTAAGTCACATGATCTCATAATTACAAATTAAAAATATGCAAAGTAATTTGGTGGTCACCAAATACCATTTTTTTATGTAAAATTATGCACTTGGGCTTTTCATGCATGAAAATTTATCTCACATAAAAAATTTTAATGAATCATTCTTTTTCATAACAAGCAGACATTTTTTGCATTGTCAAAACCTTTGAAATGAGCCCCTCAGCTCCTAAATCCAACTCTATTTGGAGGCCCGTTGAGCTAACAATAATTAGGAGAAAGTTAATTTAAATTAAAAAAACTTAATTTGATCCATTAAAACTACCCAAAATTCCAATGCAAAATTCTCTAATTTTCTCCCACCTAGAGTGTGGGCTCATTTGACCTGAAATGTATTGACATGGAGCTTATTTTAATCAAAACCACTTGAAACACAAAAATTTCAAGTATTTTTCTCTACCCAATGAGCATAAGTTAAAATTTTGACTATAAATACCTTGTAATGACCTTGTAACCACTTTATAACCACCCTTGCACTTTAATTGGCCATAACTTGAGCTAGACACCAACTTCTTGAAAATGATTTGGACCATTAGATTTCTTTTTTTCATCATCTTTAAAATGACATACACTTTATATGTATTTTTTCCTAACTACCTTCCAAATTAATATAATACCCTTTCCTTTTTTTAACATTCCTTCCATATCCTTTCTAATCCAACCCTCTATTCCTCTCTTTAACTTCCTCCATCCAACCCTTCATTCTTTCACCTCAACAATCCTTCCGCTTCCTTCTCACTGCTCCATCTCATAAATAACTTACCCTCACTTCTTTTAACCACACCTCTCCGCTCAAAAGTGATTCATTTCTATTCCTCTGATTCTCATTCTTTCCTCTCTACCCCCTCACCCAAACCCTCCTTCTCTTCCTCTCCTCCCCTCCTCATCTCTCAAACTTAGCCCCTTCTCCCCTCCTCTCCCCCTCCTCCTCCCTCCAAACCCCCACCTCCCCAACCCCCCTAATCCACCCATGTTAATCCATTAATCATGAATATTAAGAGGACGAAGCAAGGTAAGAGGATTAAGGCAAGAAGACTGATGGCAGGTAATTTAGTGTGTAAATTTTGCAAATCTTTTTCATTATTACAAAATTATACACAACAGATATATAATAGATATGTAATATAATCCCAACAAAAATATCTTCTATGAAAATAGTTTATCTTTTAAAACTCTTTTAAAACTGCTAAAACTCCATTTAAATCAATGCAAATATATGTATCGCTCAAGCAATAAGGGCTCTAATGGAGTCCTAGATATCAATCCCACAGGGAAGTTTGAAAATCCTTTAAGTAAGCGTTTGAAATTATTTTTTAATTTAAAAATACAAAAACAAAAGTAAAGTACAAAGTTTGAATATTAACTACTAATGTGAATGTTATATAAAATGCAGATGTAAGATTATAGAAGTTAAATTAAACTAAATACTAAACTTTCAAAAGTAAAATTATGAAAATTAAATAAAGTTTTTGTTGTGACGGAAAATTCAAATTTAAGAAAGCATCCTTCCCTTTTACATTGAGTATATGGTTTGTGAAGAAATTGAAATCATTTGAAAATATATAAAAACTATTTTGTGCCAAATAGGAGCAATCATATTCTTCACCTTCATCTGAGTGTTATAAAGAACATTGACTAATCTAGAGTTTGGTCCCTAATTTTGTGGTTAGGCTAGGAGGAT